GAATCTGAATCTGAATCTGAATGTCCATAATGGTGCCACATTATCCTAGCCACATCAATTCTAAAGTAAGAATAAGACATTCTTGTGACATTTCAAGGGTTTTTTAATTTTTAATTAAAGTGTAAGCATTCATGGATCACTGTCAACTTTATTCTAGCCCTAAGAGGACTGGATATGGCTTAGAAGTCCCACATATCCAGTCTGTTCTTCCTTCCCAATGCCAGCAAATACATATTTTAAGTAAAGAGGAGGAGAAAAAGTAGCAATCCAGAATCTTGTGCTTTTAATTTATATAATGGCAGGAAATCGAATAATCATCTTGTCCACAGGCCCCTTCAAGTTTTAATACAATACTAAAACTTGAATTTATCTTAATATTTTCAGTTGAGGAGGGGCAGCAGCAGCAAGGCTCCATCCATAATGATACTGTCCCCCCTGCTCCCTTTCTATTCCCAGAAGCTGTTATTTCCAAGGTTGCTGGTCCATCTACTCCATTGTGCCCAAGCTGCCTGCCTCCATGTCCTATTAAATTATAGCCTGAGAGGACTTTGCAGAACAATAAAGCTTCAAGCCATTCTATCTAAAGACAGTTAATCTGAAAAAGTAAGGAGTCATGTGTTCAATAATTTCTTTATCCCAAAATGTTTATGTTCCACTGCATTATCATAATACATAGGCTACTAATAAATTCAGAAATACAAATCCTATCAATGATTATGAACTTTACACAGGATATAAAATGTAAACAAGCTAAAACAAGAGTTATTTTGCTTGACCATATTGCCAGCGTTTCAGAGGGGTCCCATTCCTTGAACACTCCTATATTCACACCATAATTGTGCAGCTTATTTCCTCCTTCATAAGATATCCCACCGTTTCCAAGATAAAATTATCCTTTGCCCCAAAATCTAAGCAAGGGCAGACTTTTTTAAAGAGTTGGACAGGAATTAATTAACATCGGTGAGGAAGGCCATAGCAAGTTACTTCTTTATGGCTACCAAAAGAACTACAGCGCCCTGTAGTTAACAGCAGTCAAGCTGAAGCAAAGTGAGTCTTTAACATTAAAAACATTAGACAAAATTAAACACAGCTTAAAAGGTTTGCCATATGTCTTCAACGCAGATATATTAAGTGCAGTTCTATGTATTAATGAGCCTCAGTGGTACAGTGGTTAGAGTGCAGTACTGCAGGCTACTTCTATGCTTAGTTCCACTAACTTAGCATAGAAAAGCCGGCATATTAATGTTTACATTTGTCATTGAAGCATAGTACTTTCAGTTATGTAAAAATGTAATTATATAGAAAACAGAACTATTTCTATATGCTATTTATCAAATATAAATGCTAAAATGCAATTGTATTTTGTTTGCAGATTAATGCAATAGAAAGCACATAAAAGCAGAAAGTGTTCTGCTGAAATTAAAATGGGGCTGCTATAACACCCATAGTAAAAGGAGAAAGCTCTTTTCTGCAAAACCTGAAAACCAACATTCAAATTGAACATGGAAGGTATGTTGAAATGTAACTTTAAGCCCACTGTATGCTGAACAGGTTTGTGAGCATTGTTTTCCCTAGGGAGTGCATCTCTAAAACCACAGGTAGTACACTTTGTTGACTTAATTTCTTTCACCACTCTAAGATTGTTTGTTGACCAAGTGTCCAAGTGTTGCCAACTTCTATTGTTTTGGTAATAAAGTAGCATTTCAAATATTTTCTGAAGCCAAAAATGTAACTGCAGAAAGAAGATTTTCTTATTTTTAACTAATGTGGGACATGATACCAAGTGTTATTGTCCCTAGGCCCAGAAATTTGAAAATCATGATTATACAACTGAAACTGAATTAATCAATGAAGATCAAATTAGTAGGTTCCTTTAAAAACAACATACATTTTTGCTTCAAAAGTCATGACATTTTTAAAAAATCATGCTAAAAGTTTTTGAAAAAGAACTATGCAATGATTTTCTTTTATTTATTAAAATCCATTGTAATCAGATTGTTTTTAAGATTAATGTGACTGTTCCTTTCCTAATACAAATACAGGTTGTCCTTCAGTTTTGAGATTGGAATTGTTGTTGCTAAGTGATAATCCCAGCAGTCCTAGTGCCCTTGTAACTCCAAGATATGTGAGTCATTAAGCAGGAAGTGGTGGGAATCTCAGGAAAAGAACATGGGGGTGTACTATGGAGAGTTGGGGAAAGCCTTGGGGGAGGGGGCTGGCGTAGGCTGTGTGTGTTGGGAGAGGCTGAGGGAAGCTTAGGAAGTCTAGTGAAGGCCGTATGTGAATGCAAGAAATCCAAGGATGGTGCCATAGGATATGAGCACAAGAAGGCTGTAGGCAGGATGATCCAGTGGGGCATGAGCTAAGGAATACAGGAGGGGGACTGACCTCCCAAAGAGACTTGCAACCTTCCCTGCTGGCTTCCTCATTGGTTTTCCTCTTGAGAAGCCAGCAGAGAAGACCACAAATAGTGATCATGTAACTGCAGGACATTGCAACCATCATAAGTGCCAAATATCCTAATCATGATCATGTGACTGCAGAGGCACTGTGGCTGCTAGAACTTTNTCTGAATTTTGGTCACATGATCATCAGGATGCTACAACAGTCGTAGGTATAAAAAGCAGTCATAAATCAGTGTTGCTGTTACTTCATATGGTCCTAAACAAATGGCTGTAAATTGAGGACTACCTGTATGCTAAGGTGGATAGTTTTGAATTATGGAATGTTTGTGTGAATATGGAGTTGTAGTTTGATTGAAATAGTATGAGAAACATGATAAATTCAGGTGTTGTTAGTGGGACTGAGAACTGTAAAAAAAAACTTTTACATGAATAGAAAACTGCTTCAAAGCATGGATTCCTGTTGCACCAGGACATACTGCAAAAAATATAATATACATCTTCAATCAGGAAGGAAGATCAGAAAACTACATATTATAGCATTGGCTAATGAAACAATTTAAAGAAAGAGAAAGAGCCAGACCACAAAATAGTATTTACTATAAACCTATAATAATATGTCACACCTGCCTGCAGAGAAAGATTTCCATATAAAATAAAACTTTAAGTTTTGAATAAAAGTAGCAGCAAAGTAGAAATTGCACACTAGCTACAGACAGTGAAAAGTTTTAATAAAAAGTAATGTACAATTTTTTCGAGCACAGATAAAGGAAAACAAATTTGCAATAAATTTGAACACTTTATTGGAAAGCAAGATAGGATCAAACTACATTCTTACATACTATGAAAAGAGTTAAAATATTCAGTATTACTGCTTGGAAATTTATGAATTTTGCAAAAATCTCCTTAATTACAGAAGAATATTTTTTTTAAAGATTTGAATAATATAAGTAGCACTATGTATTTAATTTTATCAGAATTCAAACAGTAATTTAATTGATTAAAATCCAATTTGAATTCAACCCTCATTTTTTCCCCAGTTACAGCATAGTAAACATCTTTTCTACTGTTCTATTTTTCTACTTTAAGGGCATTTTGCCCTAAAAATGTGAAGTACAACTTCTAGAATTTATAGCCTTGTGGGAATTAAAGTCTAATGCAGTTGGAAGAAAAGGCTAGAACACTTATCGGTCAGTTAAGCAGTCCCAATCTACTTTTCCACAACTTTTCCCCCCCATCCTCTCAACTTACAATGTATGATTATATAAATGCTCAACTAACGGGTTAAGAACAATGTAATTCAGAACCTTCTTGCATCTGATCTCAATTTGCATACAAAGAACTAATAACTTTAAGAATTTACTTTAAAAAAAGAAAAGGCTAGCAACATATTTTTTACAATGTTTGAATGAAAAATAATGATTTAATCAGAGCTACATAAGGCATAAAAACCACATAGTAAGTTGAATTAGATTAACAGTATCTCTAACAGTTGGAAACCAAAACAATTTTATTCAAGCCAAACATTTTTAAATCTGGTTAAATAAATCTGTATTTTACAAGTACATCTTCTATTCCTTGTCTTTTCTCTGATAGAAGTCCATGTTAAAATGACAAACCTGGACCTAGCTATTTCTACCTACTTAATTTAATTGATATTTCAATTAATTTCTTTTATTTAAAATTCCATAAATGGAAAATCTAACAATGGTGCTTTTGCGGGAGATGGTTGAATTTTTTTTAAAAAAACTCTCACTTTACTATTCCTTATGATGCAAATACTGAATTTGTCCTAACTATATATCCTGAATCTAACAAAGGTATATTTTTCACTGATTCACGAAATTCACAAAACACCTTTGAGTTGTGTTCCATAAATTAAGTTACATAAATGAAACTAGACTGGCATATTTAGCTGCATGACATCAAAAGCAATGATTCTCTGCCCTCACATTCCAATTCATTCCATATTATCAACATTCCAATGTGAAGATATAGTAAAAAAATAGACTTGCAGGCAAACTTTCTAAGGCTAGTAGTAATATAACACGATTCTCATGTAAAAGATAGGCAGTCCAAATAAAAACTGTACTTAATATTAACTAAAATGCACTAATATTCAATTAAGGGATACAATATTTAAGTACAATAAAGGATAAGGAAAGGAACACTTAAATTTTATAAATGTAAATTCATAATCTTAATTAGGGTTAAGCCGAGGGTTGGCCAAGTATGCCAATCAGGGGAAGATCTAAATGTTTCCTTTCGAACCAAAGTTTCTTTACTTCAAACTGCATCCTCCATATTTCACACTCTATAGAAACAGTAGTTTTAAATTCAGAGACAAATGATGAAATTAAACTTAGGGATGAATTCAAACTCTTATATTTTTAAAGTTGTTGTTTGTTCTAGCTGTAGAATCTCTTCATCTATGTTCAAAATAAAAAAAATGTAACATTAATGAAAAGGCTTCATGGCAAAACTACTTTCTTATATAAACCTGTTTAAACATGAAATGGTGTGTACAAAGATATTTGTTCTTATTTCGTACCTGTAATAAAGTATGATTCAGTGTAACCTCCAACTCTGCAATCTGATGTGCCAGATCCTCATCGTCATCATGGATTTCTAAGTCCTCCTCAGGTATTGTTTCCCAACTACTTTGATGAGCTGCCAAATTATGCACCAATTCATACTGTCCTGGTAGAGCTAAACTGATCCGTGTCTGTCTTCCATGTGTGAAACGAATCCGACGCCTCTTACAATGATCCTCACTGCTAATTTTGGTGGTAGGTAGCAGTCTCTTTCCCAAGAGCATGTTGAGTAATTGGCATTTGGCATTACAGTTTTGTCCGAAGATTAATAAGCATGGGTGACATCTTACTGTCAGCTGGAGGTATTCCTCCTCATGTCGAGGAAAGGCAATTGAACTTAGCTGTCCTAAAAAAAAAAGCATATAAATCTTATTAGGAATTTTATCCTGCAAGGTTGGCACAAATTTCCCCAAGATTAACCTTCCCATTCAAGTGCCTCCTATATGTGTTGGGACTGCAATTCCCAGAATTAACTAGCAAGCGCAGCCCTGCACCTTATATTCCCAATATATCTGGAAGATGTCGCGCTCTACATGGGGCAGCCTTTGAAGAGTATTCGGAGACTACAACTCGTCCAGAATGCAGCCGCGCGAGCGATTGTAGGTGCACCTCGGTACACCCACGTTACACCCAACGTTCCCTCTAATTTTTTTTCAGTGTGAGCGGAAAAGTATAGTGTTTGAGCGGTACATTTTCATGCCTGAGCACCTG